ATCTATCTATCTATCTATCTATCTATCTATCTATCTATCTATCATCTCTCTATCATCTATCGCCTGTCTATCTCCTATCTATCTATCTATCTATCTATCTATCTATCTATCTATCTATCTATCTATCATCTATCATCTTCTGAAGTTACTACCTCCCCCCTCCACCCCCCCAAAAAAAAACCAAGCTAATGGTGAGACTGTCCCAAGGCTCTAACCCTCTTTTACCCATGGTCTCCCAGGCCAGTTGGGGAAATGGTTCAGTGGGTAAAGAGCTTGCCACACACGCATGAGGAACAGACTTTGGATCCCCAGAACCCACATAAAAGCTGGGTAGGCGTGGTGGCTCGCTTGCAATCCCATTGAGGCAATGGAGCCAAGAAATTCCTAGAACAAGCTGGCCAGCCAGAAGAGCCACAACTGGGAGCTGTGAGGTGTGCAGCCACTAAGGAAGACACCGGACACCAACCTTAGGCCTCTACACACAGGTACACATGCAGACACCACACACACACAGAGAGGCCTCTACACACAGGTACACGTGCAAACACCACACACACACACACACAGGCCTCTACACACAGGTACACGTGCAAACACCACACACATACACATGCAAAAACTTAACAATGTGTGTCTTTTTTGGTTATTTGTGGGGAACCCAGGGCTTTGTGCAGGCCAGGCAAGTGCTCAGCTGTGGAGCTGCATCCCCACTCTACCTTTGTCCTTGCTAAAATGTGGTTATTAAAGCATTTAAATTGTCTATACACATTGTAATCTAAACAGTGCTGAATTTTGCAGAAGAACAGACATAGAGATAGGTGGGACAGAACAGAGATTCCAGATGTAGGAACACAGACACGCTCAGCTGGCTTTGGACAGTGGGAGGAGGAGGAAGTCAGCTGTCTGTCCTCTTAACTCCCAGGGCTGGAGCAACTGGATTTCTGCAAGCCAAGGACAAGTCCAACCCACAGCACGCCACTGACAAAAGAAGTTAAAACACCACAGATACAGAGAGAAAATGTAAAATCAGAAGGCTTCTATAAAACATACACCTTCAGGAACCAGAGAGATGGCTCAGTACTGACTGCTCTTGCAGAGGACCCGGGTTCGATTCCCAGCACCACATGGTGGCTAACTCCTGTTAACTCTAGTTCCAGAGGATCAGACCTCCTTTTCTGACCTCTGTGGGCACAGGTACACGTGCAAACACCACACACACACACAGGCCTCTACACACAGGTACACGTGCAAATACCACACACACACACACAGGCCTCTACACACAGGTACACGTGCAAACACCGTACACACACACACACAGGCCTCTACACACAGGTACACGTGCAAACACCACACACACACAGGCCTCTACACACAGGGACACGTGCAAACCCCACACACACACAGGCCTCTACACACAGGTACACGTGCAAACACCACACACATACACATGCAAAAACTTAACAATGTGTGTCTTTTTTGGTTATTTGTGGGGAACCCAGGGCTTTGTGCAGGCCAGGCAAGTGCTCAGCTGTGGAGCTGCATCCCCACTCTACCTTTGTCCTTGCTAAAATGTGGTTATTAAAGCATTTAAATTGTCTATACACATTGTAATCTAAACAGTGCTGAATTTTGCAGAAGAACAGACATAGAGATAGGTGGGACAGAACAGAGATTCCAGATGTAGGAACACAGACACGCTCAGCTGGCTTTGGACAGTGGGAGGAGGAGGAAGTCAGCTGTCTGTCCTCTTAACTCCCAGGGCTGGAGCAACTGGATTTCTGCAAGCCAAGGACAAGTCCAACCCACAGCACGCCACTGACAAAAGAAGTTAAAACACCACAGATACAGAGAGAAAATGTAAAATCAGAAGGCTTCTATAAAACATACACCTTCAGGAACCAGAGAGATGGCTCAGTACTGACTGCTCTTGCAGAGGACCCGGGTTCGATTCCCAGCACCACATGGTGGCTAACTCCTGTTAACTCTAGTTCCAGAGGATCAACTCTCTTCTGACCTCTGAGGGCATTGCATGACACAGGTACATTTACACACATGCAGGCAATACACTCATACACATAAAATAAAATATATAAATAAATAGATCTTTAGGACCTAAGAATAGATAGGTTTCAGACTTGACCCTCAAAGCACAAGCTAGAAATACGCAATCTGTAAGTGGAACTTCATTAGAAATTAAAGAGTCTGTTTTTTGGTATCCAATACTGTAGTACCCAACTGTAGCTAAGGGAGACAACCAGCTATTGTTCTAAAATGATGGATAAATTTGTATTCTCCCCCTATCTAGAAGCCTTTGAGAGGGAACTGACACTGATTCTAACCACTGCAACAGCTATCAAAATACTTGAAAGCAAATCCTGAATCCATCACTCCAGAGTCCAGCCTTGGAAGACAAAAGAAAAATGAGGAGGAACCCAATAGAGGGATGCTTTTGGAAGCCCTTGTCAAGAAATTCCAATGGACTCTCACATGAACATTTGAAAATTGCCCTGTTCTGACTTTTTTTCTAGTTCCCTGTCTAGAACTTGTAATGCTAATTATTCCTGCCTTTACTTCTCCTTCACATCTCCTATTGAAGATGTGAAGCGTTCTAATGCCCTCATCTGTCCTATTGATGATTCAAGGACTTTCTTTTCCCCTTAGAGATAAGAGTTATGCAATTTGGGAGTCTTTTAGATAGACCCACTGAAGGGGTACCCCAATTGCCTCACCCTGCATCCCTCCCTGTTCAGCATGGAAGAAGCCAGAGCAGTCTGCATTCCTATTCCCTACTGGCAATTTGGGTAACCTCTTTAGAGGATGGTGTGGTAAGAATAGGAGGTAGGAATTGGCTAGGCAGTTAGGGTAAAAAGATCCCAAAGAAATGTAGCCAGTTT